TATAATGTTTAATGTATTTATAGTATGAAACCATGGCTTCCTCAAAGGTACCCGAGGCACTACAGCTGGTAAGCCTGAAGAAATCTGCAGCAAGAACACAATGAGACATAGTTACAGTTTTAGAGGTGGGAGGAAAGTCCCGGAGGATTCTGGGTCAAACCCTTGGAATCATGTACGGACTGATAACCCAATTCACATGTGGACCAAGTCAGAAATTGAACCCAGGCCACAGATGTAACAGGCAAGGGAAGAAGCACTTCACCAACCTGACTCCCCCAACATAATACTGATTGCTGTATGCAAATTTTCACCAGAGCCATACATGCAACTTTTGACCAATGGAAGTTGCAGCTAACACATGGAAAATGTCCCCATGGGGTTCAGATGTTTGGTCAAGGCAGTTTCAAATATTCAAACACCAGATTATAAGGTTTCAAATATTCATACACCAGATTATAAGAAAAGGGACAGCACTACCTGCACCTGGGCATGTTACCATTGCAGTTAGGCCAGACTTCTAGTTGATGAACCCAGTGACAGTGACTAAGTGAATTTGTACTAACCCGCATAGCTGTATCACATGGAGATGCAGACACTAAGATCCTTCCTCTAGGATCCCAGGCTAAGCTGGTTATTGGTCCATGACCACTCTGACTCAATATCTGGGCACAACTGGCAGATGGCCTGAGCAACACAAGACATAAGTATGAAAATGAAAATCATTCTCCTCATTCTATGCAAATCAGAACAATCATAAATGCTGATGCTATGTAAACCTACATACCTTATGGAAAGGGATGATGGATCTATGTGCCAAATCAGGATACATGCTAGACAAGCAACAGCTAGATCGGATGCAGATAGAGGCTTCCAAGTTATGCAGGCCACACAACGTTGAACGCGATGCTTCAGTGTGGGAACTAGATCACTGAAATAATTGAAAAGGAATGGTTTCCAGTCAACCCCTAACAAAAGTTGTAGTACAATCAGTGTTCACCAGGGGTTTAAGCAGGGCAGGCCACCCCACCCTGCCAAAATTTTCAATGCCCTACGATTTTTTTCCATTGGATTTTCGCTATTCTCCACTGTCTTCACAGTTTATCTGAGTCCAAAGAACTCTACCGTACTCTGTGCAACATATTGCAGTGGTGTTTATGATCGAACCCAGATCTAGATGCAGCGTACATAACATGTGTATAAATATTAAGTACTGACGTCTTTGTACAAAATTCTGGACAGGTTCTAATCTCCCTGGTGATATTATTTTCACTTGTTTTGACAACACTGTAACGCAAAACAATGTTGCCATAACACTTGAGGTTTTTTTTTTCATGAAAATAAGTATGTTCCTTGGGGATTAAAAAACTATTTATCTGTAACATGTCATTAGGAAGTCCAGGTACCGTACCGCATGTTTGTACACAAAATGCACATGCATCTCACAAGTACTTTGTCACGATTAAAATTTGGGGGAAGTAAAAGGTGAGAAAAGTGACTCAAAACAGGTGGTCTCGAACCACCTCAACTGATTCTTCAAGTCCAGAGGGTGCCGGGGCCAAAGCTACATGTAAGACCGAGTCATTGTGTAGCGAAGCCCAGGCCAAGGCTTTGAAAAATCAGCCGAGGCCGAGGCCCACCTTGAAACCTCCAACGCTGGTGCACACATGCACCTGACTATGTGTAGAGACCACTATGCATGGCCAAGATGTCACTACCCACAGTAGTGACAATGTTTGGTCGTGATAATGCCCTTTATGGTAACGGGTTTGTGAAGCAAATAGAAATATCTTGGAGTCAATTCCTCAAGTCTTTTGGTCCAAGATCCAGTTCGAATCCAAGACAAACTGAGTCCAAGTCTGTCAATAAAATGCACTCAAGTCTCAAGTCTAGACTCGTATTACCTGTTGGCTGTGAATATTCTGACAACATCATCATTCCATGCTACTGCACATTTGTTGGTATGTGGATGCCATGCTAATGCACGTATTGCTGACTCTTCCCAGCTGCATGTTTGACTGAACTGTGAAACTATTTTCTCATTTGGTAGCTGTTTAAATAAAAACAAAATATCTAGTCAAAGCCAAACAGGGAAAATCGATTTTCAATATTTAAATTGTTTCATCGAGCCATCTCATTCTTAGCATCCAACAGTCATGACAACATACATGTATAGGCCTACATGTTTTCCTGTATTTCCAATTTTTCTGTTTCCTTGATCTGCTTTTATAAAGTACATGTAGCATCACTTCAATAGGTACACAAATGTACATGTTCATGTGTGCGTGTATTAAATATTTCATGTGCATGTGTTTCATTACCATGAACTGTGAACAGTTAACTGTCTACAACAGCATTACACATACATGTACATGTACATGTTGGGGTACATAAATGTACATGTACATGTACATGTATTTGCAACTGACTGAAGAAATGCTTGAACATGTACATGTACTTACTACCATATGGGGATAAAAAGAGCCACGTAGTGAGCTTGACCATCTGATCGCTGCCAGGCAACCACATGCAACTGTTGACATAACCGAAGGTGCTGCAACCAATCACACAACACAATACATGCATGTCATCATTTTTAGAAATTATAAATACATGTACTTTTTAGAAATTATAAATACAATGAAATTTCCCTCAAGATTCAGTTTTGAAGCTCTCGTCAAAGCTATCTGCGTAATCTGTTGTCAGCTCGTGTGATTATGGCCACATTAACTTTCCTTTTATATGGTTTGTTTGTCATTGAGCCAGTAAGTCGATCATATTTTCCACTTCAGACTGTAAAAATATTATTTAAGACAATAAACGCTTCTAAAAGGTACATAACATCACCAATAAAGAATCCATTCAGTTGACACCATAAAAAACTTCCACGGATTAAATTTTTTTTAACAAGTTGGGTATTATGTACACAAACTACAGTGCAAAGATAACCATCTACCATTGTTCCATTCATCTGCTTTTTCTTTTTTAACTGTGCCAATTTTGCCATACAGGTAAGTTTAGCCAAAGTAATGTACATGTAGGAAGAGATGACATCAGCTCACCCCAAACGAAGAGGCTTCTCTCCCATTCCAAAGATGAGATCAGAAGTTTGATTTTTGAACAGGACAGAATCAGCACTGTGGTATTTTGTGATTTGGATAAGTACATGCCACGGAGAAAGTATAGACTCACCTGACAAATTCCTGAAATTGTTATGTACCTAACTAAGACGCTGATTGGGTATTGGTTCCATTCATTGCTTTCATGGCTTTACAGTTAAGGGTGTGCCTCGTAATAAAAGGTTGTTGAAGTTCTTGCACAGCCATTTTTGCGTTTGTTCCGTTCTTTTGGTTGCTTCTACGTTATAACATTTTGGCGACAAGGACTGAGAACCATGGCATCTGGAGGGTTTGCTGGCATACTTCAACCTTTCTCCTTTTCTGGAAAACCCTGGTGAACCCCCGGTGATATGGAAGCAGTGGATCAGATTGTTCCAAACTTACTTAACTGCAATTGGTGGTGACGAGATGATTTTAGTCCATCATGAAAGAAAGCCCTATTTCTACATGTACATTGTCTGGGTGTTAAAGGTCAGAGAATCTTTTCTACGTTACTGGGTTCTACTGACTCTCCTCCAGAAGGAACTGACCCATTTGCCCACACCCTACAGATCCTGAGCCTGTGTCCCTAGTCTGGGGAATTCAAATTGTTATGTTTATGTACAATCAGATAACTCAGTGTACCAGATTTTTTTCAAATTTAACTCCCAAAAGGCTTATTTGGAAAAGTGTGTATTTTCTAAGCCCAGCCTTAAATTTTTGGACCATACCGTTAGTGCAAAACGTGTGCGACCAGATAACAAATTCCAAGCGATTGCCAATGCTCAAGTGCCATTTGACAAGAAATCACTAAGATCTTTCTTGGGACTTGCAGGGTATTTTGCCAAATATATCCCTTAATTTGCAAATATTGTTGAACCATTAAGATCTCTGATAAAAGCGATAGTAAAAGTGTTTGGTCTGCTGTTGCCCAAGAAAGTTTTGACAAAGTGAAATCAGAATTGAGTAAAGGTCCATGTATGACCCAGAATTAGAAACGATTGTAACAACTGATGCATCCATGTACCGTTTAGGTGCTGTTCTATCACAAATGAAGAATGGAAGGGAAATTGTAGAATGTGCAAGCCAAAGTCTATCTGATGCAGAAAAGGAATACTCTGTAAGTGAAAAAGAAGCCTCGCATGTGTGTGGGCATGTGAAAAGTGGAATATGTACTTGTGGGGTCGTAAGTTTGTCCTCCGAACTGATCACCAAGCTTTAGTAACCTTACTTAGTAAAATACAGATGGACTTGGCATGCGTATTGCTCGCTGGTCGTGTCAGCTTATGAAGTTTGATTTTGAAGTACTATACAAATTAGGCAGTCAAAACAAGCTTGCTGATGGGTTGTCAACATTACCAGTTAAAGCTAAAGAATGTGAGCATGACACTGAGGATGAAATAATATGTCAAGTAGTTCTTCAAGATAAGTGTAAAAGTGTGACTGTAGAAAGACTGAAACAAACAGTACAAAAGGATGAAGTACAAAACGAGTTATCAGATATGTTGAAAATGGACGGCCAAGGAAAGTTAAAAATTTTGATCCACTTGAAGTAGAGATGGTGAAACCTTATCACAAAGTTAAAGGTGAACTGTCTTTGATGGTGTGTTAATGAGATAGAATTGTTGTACCAAAAGAACTTACAGGAGTAATTGTAAACTTGGCTCATGAATCACATCAGGGCATCACTCGTACTAAGCAACACCTGAAAGAACTGTATTGGTGGCCCAAAATGGACAAACAATTGGAAACCATTGTGAAGAATTGTGTTACTTGCCAATACAATGACAAAAGCATCAAAAGAGATTTGTTCCACTACTCCCAGTGCAATATCCAGCAAGGCCATGGAATAAAGTTGCAATAGATATTGTTGGAACTTTTAATTGAGCTACAAAAGGTTGTAAATACGCCATTACTTTGATCGATTATTATAGTAAGTGGCCAGAAGTTGGATTTGCTTCATCGGTAACCACTGGCACAGTGATAGCATTTTTAAAAACAATTTTTAGCTGAGAAAGGTATCCCGATGAACTCGTCTCTGATAATGGAGTGCAATGCCCAAGAGTTCAAAGATTTTTTGAATTTGAGAGGCATTAAGCATACTTTTTCATCTTTGTACACGTACATGTGTATTATCCGCAAAGTAATGGTGCAATTGAACGTTTCAATGCTGTGGTGAAAAACACAATCCAAACTGCAATTGTTTCAAATAAGTCTTGGAAAACAGCAATGTACATGTACTTGAATGAGTTTCTCACTATGTATAGAGCCATTACTCATGCAACAACTGGCATAGCACCTTCAATTCTGTTACATGGAAGACAAATTAGAACAGGTTTAGATATTGTGGGATGGAAAATGGATAAGAAGGTGAAAGCAACCAAACAGGTTGATAAAAGAACTAGGCAACAAGTGCAGCTCAAGCAACGTAAATACAAGCAACACATTGATCAGAAGAAGAAAGCGAACGAAGTGAAATTTTTTTTAAGGAGATTGGGTACGAGTTAGAAAAACTGGTAATGTACCTAAAGGCGAATTACAGTATTGTGAAGCCATTCAAATTGTAAGGAAACTGAGTAATCGTACGTATCAAACAAGTGATGGGAGAAGATGGAACATGAATAAGCTGATTTTGGCTAAACTAACAAGTGAACCATTAACGATCCAGTAGTTAGTGATTTTGTTCCAGTTGAAGAAAGTCAGGATAAGGAAGAAAAATCAACCGATTCTCTTGATAAGAAAAAACACACAGATGTACCAGAGATTAAGGAAAATGAACCAAGACGTAGTAAGAGGGTGAAACCTGTATGCCTGTATGCGTGTATAGTCAAGGGATTATTTAATGTATTAGTGATGATGATGAAATGTTAACAAGGTTAAAATTATGTTAACTGCAGGTTACATGTTGACCATTTTGTAACTGGTTAATACTAGTAAAGTGTGTAAATGATATATTTAAGTTTTCTATTTATATTGATTATTCTACGTTGTTTAAATTACATTGAAAATGTAAAAAAAAAGAGAGGAAAATGTGGTATTGTGTGATTTGGATAAGTACATGTGCATGCCACAGAGGAAATATTGGCTCACCTAACGAATTCCTGAAATTGTTATGTAGCTAACTAAGACGCTGATTGGGTATTGGTTCCGTTCATTAATTTACAGTTAAATGGTTTTAATAGTGTAGTGTGTACATAATAAAAGGTTGTTGAAGTTTTTGCAAAGCCATTTTTGCATTTGTTCCGCTCTTTTGGTTGTTTTTACTTCCTTCTACGTTACAACAAGCACAAAGAAAAATACAGAACATTTAGCGCAAATAGTAGTTTGTGAATTCTGCACCACAGCAGACACACATTTTCAGACAGTACAGGCAGACTAGACATGTTACTGGAAGATTCCAAAAAGATGCTACTTCAGAACCCCCCACAGAACAGTTCATTGATTACTGATGGGGCTACAATAAAACCAAATACATGAATGAATAAAAGGAAACACTTTGTTTTGAAGAAAATTTCAGTCACGTCATTAAAATGTACTGTATCATTTTGAAATTACAGGTAGGCCTGATAGTGTTCCACTGTATTTTTATTTACCGGCATATGTACATGTAACAATTGTAGCCTGCTTAGACAGAGTCCCTGAGTTTTGTAACTGTAACTGCCCACTGTCATGGGCAAATGGCGCACTCAACTTTATTTCTTCAAGGAATAAATATGATGGCTGGATGGCACTTCAGGAAAATGCAAAGAAGTTCATTTATTATGAAAGCCATTTTCCAAAAAGAAATTATTAATTTACAAAATAGTAGTCTTCTTGCAGCAAGTCTTCTTTTTCTTTATAACAGTTCTCTGACATGTAGCTGGCCGCATACATACAGCACTGGATTTCTTCTAATTTCACTTCTCTAACAGCATTGCGAACAAATACAAGTACTGCACAAGGTGGCAACCTGTACAAGTACATGTAATTTTTTTCACACAATTATCCGTGTGACACATCACAGATATCTAACACTGTCCAGCAAGGGTCCAGAGGACGATCTCAGGTTAAATTTATAAATGAACTCATTCGTGTACCTACAAAAACTTGAACTGAGTTTGGCTCATAAAAAACATTCGAAACCAAGGCATTGCAGAGTTATTCTAAAATATTACAACAGTCAATCTTCAAATGTCTTGTTCCTGTTATAGCCATTAACCACTTCAAACTGTTGCAAATACTGAACTTGCGATGCGCTTAAATCAAATTTTGGCATCCGTCTGCTTTGCCAGTCTGTACAAGGTGTCTATTAAACCTACATGTACATGTACACAGCTGATCCACATTGTATGTAACTGATGTTAATGCTTGATGAAGCAAACTACATGTACATGTTCATGTAGTCTTTATGTGTAATTGTAATTCACTGAAATAACAGTATGTATGTACATGTACATTGGTGCAGTAAAAATAAGAAGGCTCAACCACTTGCTGACATTATCAAAATGAACTTGTCCCTGGTGCAAAACTACATGTACATGTACTTTCAGGTAAATACCAACTTTTAAAACGACCTGATACAAAAAAGCATCACAACCACAGTCCTTTACCAAGTTGGATTTAAACCATTACAGCATGGGGAAGAGTATAAATGTCATCTGATGTTTCATACAGAATCTGCCACTGGATCAGGTTTGAATGTCTCCATATAACACAGAGAATCCCTATGGGTATGTGTTTGGATGCCATTCTGTTTAAAGCGGTTAATGGGTTACCTTGTCCAAAATCAAACAAATTTTTTTTATTCCAAAATAAGGTTTGTTTAACCAGATAGCCAGATTAACCAGATATTTTCTTACCCAAAAAAGCTGCTGGGGGCAGGTTTTTTCCCCGCAAATCTTCAACCTTACAAATGTGCTTTGACCCAACCAAGTACGTTAATATGTTCACTACGGAAATGAAAAAAAAAATCTTAAACGAGTGTACACATCCTCCGGGGAACAAATAAGGGAAATTATGAGTGTTTACACATCATCCGGCGTCAAGTGGTTAAAGAAATTGTTAAAATTATTCACTGTCTTAAATTTGCATTTTTTTTTAAAGTAAGAAAATTTTGACAGTGGATGTACAGTGCCTGTAAGGTACATGTACATTTGCAGTGAAGCAACCCTCAAACTGTGTGGTAAACCCATAAGATACATGTAATACCACATCCTGATCTCACCTTCTGTGTTTCTCTTGGTCAGTTCATTGAGCAGACCACAAGTTCCATTCTCCTTGTATAGGTACCATGCTTTCTTCCACAATGGCAAATGGGCATCACAAGGTAAGAATGCTGAGGGAGCATCTTCATCTGTTGCTAGGGAAGACAGTGTCTCCACACCAAGAGTCACTCTGGGCAATGTTAGTCCCTGAGGGATCAAAGATTTATGAACTGAGCATACAATGTGATTCTTTAAGACCTTATAACGACTTCTTATATGTTAACTTGCTGGGTTTTACTTTAGTACTTACGTATACATTCTCTGGTTATAATGTGTTACAGGACATGAGATGGAGTCCATGAGTGAAGCACACAAATGGATATTGTTGATGCACTCGCAAAAGGTACATGTACGTGTACGTACCCCTTTACTAGGTCATGGATTGAATTTGAATTTCGGCTAGTGTGTGTTTTAGCTGCTTTTAGTATTGCCCGTTCATTCATGGAGACTCTCACAACATCTGCAAACACTACGCATAAGAAAATCGGCTCCTATTAACGGATGTGGTGGGTGAAGTGAAATGAACTGATTAAACGATGGTCACCTGACCATCGCAAAAAAAGCAAAGTTTGTTTTCTCAAAAACACTAGCACTCTGGCCGGAAATACTTTACAGATTGACCATGGCTGTTATTTACATGTACTTTTATGTTTGAGGGTTATACAGCAGTCCTATTTCTGTGATTTTACCAAAGGTACATGTATCACCTACCTTTAAAAACAAAGAGAGATACAAATTACAAAACAACATTTTGGGGACAAGACAATACTGGCACTGATTGAAACTTATAACAATGAACATTTGGATCCACAATACAATTAAAAGGAAGCTACATGTACAGTACAATACTATTCCCTGTACTCCTTAATCCGTTCCAAGTTGTACATGTATGTATATGTATGTGTACCTGTGCTATTTGTTTGCTAAGATCAGCATCTTTAAACTGTGCTGTTAGGAGATCTTCGTGTAGTTCACGTAACACCATAAATCCTTCCCTGGGTGGTGGAGAGTCGGAGACATCTGTCAATGTGTGCGTTGTTTCATCCATCTAAAAAGATTAGTAATTACAACAATAATATACATGTACTAGTAACATGCAGTCTACTAATGAACACTAAACAATGAGTCCTCAGAATCAAAAATGAATCATGGTAATCTGTAAGAAACACTTCATTGGCTATTCAAGTACAACAGATATAACTGTGATTATTATAACATGTACATGCATTAGTTTATGGTAGTCCCAGACTGGGGCCAGTCTACTGGACTACCTCCTTATCCTTGGCCCCACAAGCACGACTATCCCACAAAAAGTGGAGACTTTGTAAAAAAGCTTCCTATAAGCCCCATTTTTCTCATACAGCGTCACTCAACCCATCCGTTCATTAATTCATCAATAACTTAATTTTCCTCTGTTCCTTTCCCTGAAATTTTGGTTCATATGTTATCATCTTGACACGTCACGGCCACTCGTTTACATTATCGATTCATTCTCGATTGTTTGACAGGTGATAAACACAGTTGGGACCTGTTTGGTGAGGGAACTAGACAACATTAAAGATGTACACATACATGTAGGTCCCCAGAGCATGACCTTGTCAAAGAATGTTAAACAAGACCGAACCTGCTTATACATGCTTGGGATCGAATGTGAAATGATTGCCGAATGTGGGCACTACTAGCGCACACACCATTTGCTCATCTTTCCTCGCTGCCCTGAACAACAACGTGCAACTCATGAAAATACCTGATGGCTATTTTTTTCAATACATTCATGTTTACATATGCACAAGGATTCATCACAGGTGATACAAAGTCACTGATTAAACAGCTGGTGGGATCACCATGTTTATCGCTGTCTGAATAGATCCCACTGAGTTTATCACCAGTCACATGATTGAGAATGAATCGATGTAGTAAATGAATGGCTCTGTTGAGACAACCAAAATTTCACGGACTGAAACAGATGGAAAAATCGCCCATATTGATGAATTAATGACCAGATGGGATGAGTGAAGCCATATAATAAAAAACGGGCTCAAAGGAAGCTTTTTAAAGGCACTTTAAGAACTTCTTAAATTTGGGGGGGGGATTTTTTGAGATTTCTTAATAATAATGTTCATATCATTCACTCATCACCCAGTGCCCGATGAGCAAATTAATACACCAGGCCAATTTACGACACGCCTTGAATATTGAAAAATACAAGTATACAAGTCTTACATGCATCCTTTGGTTCGCAACTTGTTTGATGTTGTGTTCCAAAGCACATTATGATACATGTAGGCCTTTTTTTATTAAAACATGAGTTCACAGTGGCAAAAGTTCCACTTTTGGGTTTGACCCCCCCTCCCCGGCTCTGGTTAGGCAACGGGCTTCACCTCAAATGCCATTTGCCCACTTGGGTGTACAAAACATCATGGACCTCTACACTGCAGGCAATATTGCATTGTTTAATGTAACTACAAATTGGACTTCTCTTTTTCTAAAAAGACATGTACATATACATGTATACTGTCGGCCTACAGATTTGTTGGTGAATAGGTCATGCCAGGTTTCCATGTGGTAACAGGAATGCCTACCAACTTGTACACTAACCAATTCGTACATGTAAGTGGATTGGTCAACTCGTACATTGACCAACTTGTGTGCCAACCAACTCATGCGCCGCCACATGTCATGCTGTCAGTTTTAATCAACTCTGGAGTTGAATGACAGGGAAACATTAAAACTGCTCATTCAGAAGTACAAATTAAAACCAAAACTATCCATTTTCAAAGAATAGCTTCAGCATTTAAAATTGAAATTTACAAATTTACATGTACATGTACCGTATACATTTTAAATACCTGCCTTAAGTACATGTAGAAGCACCCCCTTGTCGGTTGAAAAGAGTGATTTTGGTTGGGATTTTTTTATTTTGTTGGAACTTAGCGATGCGAGAGCAACATTGTTTGTGAACTACCAGTATCAACGTGCAGTTAGTACAATGGAACCCCTGTTCCTAGGAACATCGCACCCTCCCTTGGTTCAGCTCGGGGCCCACAGTCAAGAAATGCAGAGAGATCTAATATCTAACAACAGTACTGTACTTGCATAATCGCCTAAACACAGTTTTGGCTGTTTCGATGGTGCCAACTTACTGTGCCATCACAGATATTTGTGCAACAAAATTTCATACATCCCTTCATGGAGATGTTACACGTACGCACATGTACACTGTAGGTGTCTGCTAGGGAGGTTTATTCACCTTACATCTCATTAAAACTGTGAAATTCCTGAGCATTTTACTATCCACGCCACAGAAAATCAGCAGCATGTACAGTACTCTCTCAATCACTGTCAGCAGCTGAGCATAATACATGTAGGTTGACCAATTCCAACATGGCTACTATCTTTTACTTCTTGTTTTCCTGTCACCTGCAAATGAAAGCAAAGCTTTGATTGGTCACTGAAATAGAAGCAGATTGTGCCAATCAGAATACGGCTTGTACATGTAGCACAATCGAAACAGCCAAAACTACAGCAAATGCAAGTTTGTACATTGCCATCTGTCAGGTTAATATGAACCTTTCAGTTCTTGAAGTAAAACAGTACACTTATATTTTCTACCAGACTGGGTGATGGTCAAGTTGGGGAGGACATGCAGGGGCATCACTAGGGCTAATTACTAAAGAGAAGGCTTGCAGTAACACCAAGTGGATACATAGATCTGAAAGAGGTATGGTTCTGATAAGAACCAGTGAGTGTGCAATCGACGTTTCAACTAGTGTGTTCTTTAGATTTGAAGGTTTTCATGTTGAAAGAACTATATGAGTGAAACGCTTGCGGTTACACCAAAACCGATCCCCCACCCCATCAATGGCCCACCACCGTAATCCAACCAACATGTAGTTATCCTTCTCACGCTCCAGTGCATCAATGACCCAGCCAATCCTGCACCAGCATCCTCTACCACGCATCACTGACCTCACAGCCAAGCATCTATCCCGTGCTTCAGTGGGTGCTCAAGGGATCTACTGTAAGATCCCCACACAGTGCTGTACATGTGAGCTTATCAGTGCCTTTCTGGGGGGGGGGCACATGCTCCCTTACCCATGCCCCCTGGTACGGTAGATCTGTGGCTGCGTCTCTGCCCTAGGGCAAGGGCAAGACAATGGCATTCATGTACAGTACATCCTCGCACGTGTACTACGCCCTACTACTACTAGTACTACTCTAGTACTAGTAAACTAGTACTAGTAGTACGCCTAGTACAATTTGGCGTACGAGTTATTCGTGTAGTCGGCTAGGTAGCCCGATCCTACCTTCGAATACTGACGCGGGAAGGATTGTGAGAAGGTCTAGGCCTATACATACAAAAGATCAATACATTCAGAGCGACATCGAGAATGCTGGTACTCAGTAGACATGGTACAATCAGAATGAGACATGACGTTAGCGCGAGAAATTATGTACATGTACGCCTCCAATCAAATTATCCACTACTTCTTGTTTACAATTTCAAAATCCCGCAAACTCAGACTCAACGAATGTAGTCTTGGCTTCACGACGTTGATA